CTTGTAATATGCTCCCAGATATGAGTTTATGAGTTATGAAGAAAGTCCTTTATCACTAATAAAGTCCTATCTAGCATAAGTCTAGATTCAGCCCGCCGGTTGCTTAAATCTGGCCCACAGGACCAGCTTGGAAATTGCAAAGGGCCAGTCCATGGTGCCTCAGGCAGCCAAAACAGGACGCACCCCCCTCCCCCGGTGGCCTGTTTTGGCCAGCAAAGTGCTGCAGGAGACATCTGTCCCATCTCTCCCCCCTCCCCCCGCCTGGCCTGTGGAGAAGAAGTGGTGTTGATCCAGCCCTCAAAGAAATCCAGTTTGACACCCCTGGTCTAGATTATTTGTGGGACTGCCTATCTGCCCTGGTTTCTACCCAGCCAGTATAAGCCAGCAGAGCTGGAGACTCTGAATTCATTTGATTAAACAGCACCATCGATTGTGATTTTTCTCTGTCATCATGCCTATCTTCTGGAACAACATTCCTCCTTGAAACATTTATGGCACTCATTATGTCCCATAAGTCCTAGAAGATCTGGCTGTTCTCCCAGACCTTGGGATAAGGTGGATGGAGTCACTTGCTGAATGTATTTTTGTTTATATTTTTCTACAGAGTAACTGGATCCCAACTTGCTTACTTGGTTTGCATTTTGTTTTTGTTGTTTACTATATTGTGAACCACTCAGAATCAATTAGGAATCAGTTAGAATGTCTAAATTAAATAATAAAATATTAGAATATGTCCTCTGCGATAATGGGTGTGTTCATATTTCACACTTCTATAAGATGGAATGGTTTGGTTGGTTTTAGCTTAGCCTATCTAAACCCAACTGCTATATTTTTAAACCATGTTTTAATATTTACCACATTATGTAAGCCCAGCCAATTATAGTTTATTAATAAACTATGCTTAGCCAAACTGTGGCTTAGTGTAATATGAATCCAGTCTCCATTAATAATGTAGAAACTAATCCCCTTGGAATACAATTATCACTTGATTCACAAATATTTTGTACAGTATTGCAGACTAATTATTTTATTTTTATTTTTTTATTTATTGTTATTTGTCAATTGCTTACAAGATAATAGGTATAAGTAAAAACATAGTTATGAATACATGGATACATATAAGAAAAATAAAAAAATATAAAAGAAACAATAGGACAGGGACGGTAGGCATGTTGGTACGCTTATGCACGCCCCCTACAGACCTCTTAGGAAAGGGGTGAGGTCAATAGTAGACAGTCTAAGGTTAAAGTTTTTGGGGTTTGGGGAAGAAACCACAGAGTCAGGTAGAATATTCCAGACATTGACCACTCTGTTGCTGAAGTCGTATTTCCTGCAATCAAGTTTGGTGCGATTAACCTTGAGTTTGTATCTATTGTTTGCTCTAGTGTTGTTATGATTGAAGCTGAAGTATTCATTGACAGGTAGGACATTGCAATGATTTTGTATACTATACTTAGATCAGACCAAAGACGGCATAGTTCTAGGTTTTCTAGGTCTAGAATTTCGAGTCTGGTGGCATAAGGTATTCTGCAATGAGTAGAGGAGTGGAGAACTCTTCTTGTGAAATATTTCTGGACTTTCTCAACTGTGTTAATATCAGATACGTAATATGGGTTCCAGACTGATGAGCTGTATTTGAATATTGGTCTAGCAAATGTTTTGTATGCTCCAGTTATTAGTGTAATATTACCAGAGAAAAAGCTACGTAAGATTAGGTTCACAACTCTTAACGCCTTTTTGGCTATGTAGTTACAGTGGGCTCTAGCACTTAGGTCATTAGAGATGAGTACTCCAAGATCCTTGACAGAGTTTGGATCATCAACAAGGTCTTGACTATTCAGCCTGTATTTTATTTTCTGATTTTTTTTACCAATATGTAGGACAGAGCATTTATTTGTTGAGATTTGAAGTTGCCATTTGTTTGACCATTCTGATACATAGTCAAGGTCTTTTTGAAGGGTAGAAGTATTGTCTGTGGTGTTGAATAGCTTTACATCATCAGCGAAGAGAATGCAGTTGCTCTTGATATGATCACAGAGGTCATTTATGTAGAGTATGAAAAGAGTTGGTCCTAGAACACTGTCTTGGGGGACACCACTGTTGACAGGTACAGAATTTGATAGGACGCTCCCAATTTTGACCATTTGTTGTCTGTTTGACAGGAATGCTTCTTTCCAGTAATGCAGGTGTCCAGAGATACCGTAAGATGTTAGTTTTACGAGTAGTTTGTCATGTGCCACTGAATCAAAGGCTTTACAGAAGTCTATGTAGATTGTATCTATTGCTTTGACCTGATCGAGTTGTGTAGTCCATATGTTTTTGCAGTGTAAGAGTTGCAGATTACATGATAGTTTTTTCCTAAAACCAAATTGTTTATTAGAGAGTAGGTTGTTTGTTTCTAAGTGGAGGATGATGGATTGGTTAATAATCGATTCCATGACTTTACAGGTAACACAGCATAAAGAGATTGGTCTATACTTTTCAACTAGGCTGGGGTCTCCCTTTTTGAAGATGGGGATGACCGTGGCTTGTGACCATAGTTTTGGCAAGGAGCTGCTCCTGAAAGATTTTTCAAAGATTATGCTTAGAAATTCGACTATGGCAGTGGGTAGCTTTTTTAAGAAGTAGGCAGATATTCCGTCCGGTCCAATAGATAGAGATGGTTTTAGATTGCGTAGTGCTTTTTCAACAATGTCTTCTGTAAAATTGATATGTATTAGATCATTGTAGTTGTCTGTGGTTCGACTAGGAAATACTGGGCATGATCCATTGCTGTTTACAAATACTGAGCCAAGAGGTCGGCTTTAATAGTGTTGTCGTTGCAGTTGTTCCATTAGGTCCTTTCAGGGGTGGGATGGACCTTGAGCCTTTTAGTTTGTTGTTTATAAAGTAGAAAGTGCAGGTGGAATTGATGCGTAGAAGATTTTCTTCTTGTTTAATGTAGTAATTGGTGCATTTAGTTTTTATCTGGTGGCATAAATTTTTGTATCGGCTTTTGAAGTTGGCAACGTGACCAGATTTGTTTTTCCGCCAAAGTGATTTCTTTTTGGATGGAAGCTTCCTTATTGTTTTGGGTAATTTGTTTTTTCTGGTTTCGGGAGTTGTTAATGGTATATATAGTTTGATGACTCTTTTGACTTCAAGTAAAAATATATTGTAATGGTCTTCTACAGTATTGCATCCAGAGAATAGAAATTATGTTGATTGCCGACTGCCAGCAGTTCTGCAGTTCAATTCTCACTGACTTAAGGTTGACTCAGCCTTCTGTTCTTCTTAGGTTGGTAAAATGAGGACTCTGTAAACCGCTTAGAGAGCTGTAAAGCACTGTGAAGTGGTATATGCTATCACTATATATTTATTTAAGAAGTACAAACTCCTTTGTTCTGAAGTTAGCTATTGCTATTGCTCAAACACGAAGTTCTTTGAGATCTCATTCACATCTGTCTTGTCTAATTGCATGAAATGTTTATTATTATTTTCATAAACACTCTTTTTTGGTGGGAAAGCAGCTATTCCTCATAATAAAATAGTGAAATATACCTATAGGATGCTATGAACTGATTGAATGGATCTATGAGCATTGAATGGTTATTTAAAGTATCACCAAAAAGAGCCTCTCAGATAGAAAACCTACATTTCATCTTGGTCAAAAGTTCAAGAAATTTTCATAAACTACATTTACCAATGAGGAAAATATTCCAGGCTTTGTTTTGTTATACTGTTTCAATTTATTATTGTATGGATAAATGTATAATAGATATAAACTATAATTTCACACATTGAAATGAATTTAAGATACTTATGTAGAAGGGAAATATTATGCAATCCATAGATCTCAAGAGCGATTCAACATCCAGTTAAACCTGTACATCTAGATTTGAGCCCAATTTCCCATACTGTTTCCTGGGAATTTCATATGAAGCATTTCTCTATTACCTGTAAGGTTCTTGGAAATTAAGGAGTGAATTAGTAGGATGCATATATATACACTACAAAACAAGATTCAGTTCCTCAAAATATATTTAAGATATTGCAACAACAACAAAAACCTATTGTGCTACTCAGGTCCTACTGAATAGGTCACTATTGATAAGCCATTTCAATTGTATTTAAATTAAACATGTACTAATCAATTCTTCAGACAGATCAACAGTAGGGAGTTTCCATGTGTGGTTGACCTAAAACTCCCAGTAACCCTAATCAGCATGGTCTATGGCTAAGGATATTGGGAGTTACATTCTGCAACAGGGCTGTAGTTTCCCCATTTCTGATTAGTAGAAGAATCTTGACAGAATAATGATATTATGACAGCAAATAATATTAATAATGTGCTACATTTATCTATTTTACAGTTTGAGTTCAGCTGAAAGAAGGCATACAGAATGAATTTTTAAGCTGGTATTTGTGAGATTTGCAGAATTGGTGCTAGCATTTATGTTATACAGGAAAATAGCGCCCTCTTGTGAATAAAATAACATATAGCCATCCTATAATGAAACCATAAAAAATAAAAATAAAGGGAAATATACCTGATATGGAATGAGAGGGGAGGGGGCTTTTTTTTTTTTTTAAATAAAAGGATTTTCATACAGTACTTTCTATCTTTGTTGATTTTCAGGCTCTTGCATAATTTTAGTGTTGAATTGTCTGAATTTTAATTACCATGGATTGCATCATAATTCTAAGTCTACTTTTCCTCATTGCCTTACAGGTATATCTGATGAATATATAACACCTATGTTCCATTTCTATAAAAGTATTGGGGAACTCAAGATGACACAAGAAGAATATGCTCTGCTTACAGCAATCGTTATCTTATCATCAGGTAATTCATTTTCTCAGTTGTTTTAGAATAGGGTCTTTTAAACTTGTTCAGGCCACAGAACCCTAGGATGCGTCAGTTTGAAAAATCCTGTTCTAGACTATCAACACTGAATTATGTTACCAAATTTGAAGAAAAAAGGAAAGAGGCACAAAAAAGAGAATGCTAACTTCTTATATAAAAATAGTAACTGTTATTAAAGTATTAGAGTTGGGCAAATATTTCTAGAGTGAGTGCGTATCTGTTGCCTATGGATGCACTTTGCCACACTCCACGTGTGCATGTATGGGCACGGGAAATAGAGCCCAATTGCTCTTCAGGAGACCCTTCTGATCATGCAATGAAGATGTCTTAGAATGGAGCACTCAGCAGTAAGTATTCCAAGCTGCTGCTCAAGGGTGTCTCTCAGGGATGCACTTTGAAACCCCCTCCCGATCCAACCCGGATCTGACCCATTTTTAAATTCAATCTTTCACCAGCTTCTCTCCTCATACCAAATGTGGTCCAAATGTATACTTTTGTGAATGAGATTTCCTTCTAGCATTCTACTAGAAGGAATGCATTGGAAAGGAACCTGTAAAATTCTACCCTGTGTAGGATTACAGATGTTCACATCAGAGGTGGTATTCAGCAGGTTCTGACCAGTTCTGGAGAACCGGTAGCGGAAATTTTGAGTAGTTCAGAATAACCCCCCCCCTCTGACTGGCTCCGCCCCCATCTATTCTCTGCCTCCTGAATCCCAGCTGATCGGCTGGGTCTTCTTTTGTTGCCCTGCATAGGAGAACAGAGCTGGAAAGCAGGTTAGTGGGGTGAGGAGGGTATGGGGATTTTGCAGTATCCTTCCCCTGCCACGCCCACCAATCCACGTCCACCAAGCCATGCCATGCCCACCAAGCCCACAGATAAAAAATTGAATACCATCACTGGTTCACATACAATTGTTTAATCATAGGCATTTCTGCATTAAATGTTTCAAATTACGTTTTACATTCAAAAGGCAAGACAAACTACATGTTACATTAGACAACATCCTCCAGGGTTGGTATTTGGAGTTGCCTCCATACTAGGGAGGTATCTAAGCATTTATTTTTCCCTGGAGTAGTTATGGCCAAATATTTCGAACACATAGATATATTTGTAAAAGTGAGTACAGATTTAATATCGTAGCTGTTATGATGCAATAGTTCTGATCACTAGCAGCATAAAATGATAGGGGCCTAGCTAGAAGAAATGCATGAGTTTAGTGGGATTTGTGTTGGAGGCAGTCCTTGACTTAGAACCATTTATTTAGTGACCATTGAAAACCGGCACTGAAAAAAGTGACTTATGACCATTTATAACTGCTGCAGCATCCCCATGGTCATGTGATGAAAATTCAGATGCTTGGGAACTAGCATGTATTTAGAAATATAGAAATGTATAAAACTGATGGCAGAAAAACACCCAGTGGCCCATTAACTCTGCCCTTTGAGGAAGGTTTTGTTTTCTTACTTTTTATTTTTTGCCAGATGATGCATGTGTTTATCACAAGCATGTTTAGATTTAGTTACTGAAGATAGAGCCACCACTCCACTGGAAGTTATTTCCAAGCTTCCGCTACTCTTTCTACAAAGTAATACTTTCTCACATTACTTTTGAGCTTCCCTCCTGTCAGTTTGAGGTAAAGCCCCCATGTTCTTGATTTTTCCTTAATATTGAAAATACTGCCTTCTAGAACTTTATTCACACTTTTTATATATTTAAAAGTTTCAATAATGCCCCCATTTTCTCTTCTGTCCTTGAGGCTGTATATACTCAGTTCCTTCAATCTCCCGATATGTTTTGTTCCTCAGACTTTGCACAATTTTTATTGCCCATCTCTGAACTTGCTCAATCTTATCAATATCTTTTTTTAAGTGAGGTCTCCAGAACTGGACACAGTATTCCAAATGGGGTCCAACTAAAGCCCTGCATTAGGACCTCCCTTTTCCTGCTGGTGACCCCTCTAGTGATGCATCCCAGAATTTTGTTTGTCTAAATAGCTGCCTGGCCATACTCATTTTGCATACCTAAACTTTTTCCTTGTGTGCAACCTTCTCTATAACAATCTGCAGTATCAAGCAAGTTAATAAGTAAAACCCATCCCATCAACACTGCAAGTTTTTAGACACGCAATTCTGCATACAATAAATTTATGGGAACAAAATAGCCTATGAACAGAGAAATCTTTTATTTTATTTACAATTGGAACACTTTGGTCTTCATAATTTACATATATGAAATAATGCTTATTATTGTTCCTCTTCTTCTTTGAAAATTAAAACCAGATCGGCAATACATAAAGGATAGAGACTCTGTTGAACGGCTTCAAGAGCCTCTGCTAGAAGTTCTGCAAACATTCTGCAAGCTTCATCACACGGAAAGCCCTCAACATTTTGCTTGTCTCCTTGGTCGCCTTACAGAATTACGGACTTTTAACCACCATCATGCAGATATGTTGATGTCATGGAGAGTTAACAATCACAAATTCACACCTCTTCTTTGTGAAATATGGGATGTGCAGTGATAGCCCTGTTTTTTACTGGATCATAAACTAAGTTAACTGGGACAGCAGACTTGAATCCATAACATCAGTGTGTTCATTCAGAGTTTTTGTATTGTAAATATTTTCTTAAAGCACTTAAATTGATAGTAAATCATTTTCATTGAAGTTTACATTTGTGTCTGTTTACATAGAATATCTGCCATGGTTCTTAAGTTCCTTGAAACAAGTGAATTTCTATTTGCCTGAAGCAAGTTCCTGTTATTTCTTTTGAAATTAAAGTAGTATACTACAATTTCTTTTATTTTCATCTTTGTTCATTACTTATAAGTTGATAAGTTGATAAATATTTCTCATAGCCAAGCTGAAGTGCTATCTATCAGTCCTAAACTATTGGAAACTATACCTGCATGAACTCACTATCTAGCCTGCTGTAGATACAATGTGGGCAAATACTGCTGTCCTTATTTACAAGATGTATTAAAGACAAACTTGTGGGTTCCCTCCTTCCTTACCAAATATCATCATCTCATGGGAAAACTATCCTCGTTTCCTGCTTTTTCAACCTCAGCTGTGCTGCACAAAGCAGCTGAGGAGGATGTTGAGGTAATTCCCCGTTAGGAGAATGAGCGCACACAGGGAGATGTAGTGAGAGTGGTGAAGAATAATACACAAACAGCACACAGCTACACTGTATAGTAAAATGTAGATTTTTACTTCCAGTAAATGGTTAAGCAAAGTCCAAACACAGTCCAAGTCATTCACAGTTAAAGCAGTCAGTTTTCAGTCCAGGGATAATCCAGTAACAAAGTCCAGTATCATAAACAGTTCAGTAACAGACTTACATCAAACCCAAGAAGAACTATGATCAGTCAATAGGGAAAAATGTAGGAACAGCAACACTCTCAGCAACAAAAGAATAGAACAACCCAGGTTTCTGGTTCCATCTTATGGCCGTTTGAGGAACCACACCCACAACCACAATTTTAGCATTCCCTTAAAAAGACAGTATTAAAATGTCTGTCCTGGTTTATATATTTTCCAACCCAACTGTTAGGTGACTTACATTCCTAACAGAGGGAAAAGCAGGGAATAAACGACAGCCTAGAGCCCGGGATGGTGGGTGGGCCAAACACTGAACCGGTTCGATGTCAGCTGCTCTTCGCAGCTACCAGTTCTATAGAACCAGGCCAAACCAGTAGCATCCCACCCCTGGTTTTGACCCGGCTCCCCAAACATGATAAACCTTCTGACATGAATTCAAAAGATGTCTTTATTAGGAATGCCGGCAGCCCTGACAAAAAGTTTCTTTCGCAAGCTAACAAGTCTGTCCAGCCGGAAGATGAATAGTTGTCTGCCACATGTATTCATCTCCACTCCCAGCTAGGGTGGGGCCTCGTTAGCAGCAGTGGCTCTTTCTTCCCCAGGATCGGCCCACGGCTTTCCACTGCTCTCCCCTTCTCTGCCTTCTGTGCAGCCGTGCATCAGGCACTGGACCCAGCTGTTTCTCTCCTTCGTCAACCACCTCCAGACCTGGGGGTTATTGACTCTCCATCTGAGGGCTGACGGATAGCCCAGCCGCCGCCTCTCTCTCTCTCTCTCTGCCATTACCTCTTGCCCTGATGCTGACCCTGACTCCCACACCTCCTCCGACTCCTCTGATTTGGCTGTTGGATGGAGCGGCCGACAGGCCACAACAGTTTCACATTCAGAGACACATTGATACAGGTCTGCAAACTGGGAATTGGCTCAAAGACTTACTGAGCACTGGGCAGAGCATAATTTGAAAGAATCGAAATTTCCTATTTTCCCCAGAGAAGAGTAGCTATGGAAGGCAGTGTTCATTGACTGGAGAAGGACAGCTTTTCTTTGAATATAAAAATAACCTTAAAGAGAATATAGATCTAGTTGCCCATCAAAGAGAGTATCATAATATGCCAATTGTTTAATTATTTAAATCTGTTATTTTTAGGCAGAAGAAAAAGAAAAGATTGAAAACACTACTGGAGTTTTTGTTAAAAAAAAATTATGAGTGACTTGAATTGAAGTGACTTATCAATTCTACCTCTACTGTAGAAATTCCCAGGTTGACTTTAGGCCACTAACCATCTTTTGGTCCAGCTTACTTTCAGGCTATCTTATTGGAGAAAACTGAAGGAGAAAGTGTTCATACCTGTGTTTATTATTTTTGTATGTGGGATAAAAATCAAATAATAAGAATCATCTGAAGAAGAGGCTCAGACCTACCCACCATTCCATAAAAAATACAGAATCGATTTATCTGGTTAAGTTATTGTGCTAACCTGTGCTATACTGTGCCAATTATGGCTTATTAAACACGGCTTAAAAACCAAATCCTAAACTAGCACTGCCATTTCCGGGCTATGCAAATCTGGACAAACACCAGCAAAGAGATGCAGAAAGCTCCAGTTTTGCAGCCCAATTAAACCAAACCAATAATACTATTTATGAAAATATCATCATATTTAACCTGATCCCAAAATGAATATGTAGAAAAAAATAAACACAGATAACCCAAACAGTGCCTTGTTAATCTAAGTCTACCCACTCTAAGTGAAGCCAGTCTCCCATTCATAACTATATGCCTTGTCACTCACTTATATATTTATATGTGTATGCATACATACATGTGTGTATCTTTCACAAGCCAAAATCCAAAGCAGGAGAGTTTAATTGAATTAATCTCATTGACTCAAATAAATTCCTTAAGAGGAATCTCATTTCTAAACTTAATGGATCTTCCGCCTCCATCCACAGAAATTAACCATTACCCTACACAGAACCATACATTACCTTCCCCAGTTTCAAAGGAGTAAAGAAATAGAATGGATATGAATTAAGGGGATTAAATAGATGCATGGAGAATGACAAAAAAGGGGAAAATGAGATAGAGATAAGGAGAGGAAAGAAAATTTGACAGGGAAAGAAAAGAAAAACTGGAAATATTGGAAAAACGGTTAAATCTCCAAGCAAATACTCTTTCCCAAGTACTGGCAAATTTCAAGGACATCCATACTGTTCATCAGTAAGGTGTGTATCTGCAGGAATTTAGATTTCCTGATTATTTTAAATGATTCTCTTTATCACTAATCTTTTCCTCCCTTATTTGCCTGGGTAAAATAAACTTGTTTTTCTCCTGGATAAAGTAACTCTATAACTACATAACACAATGTGTGTACTGAGGATAGTTAGCATCAGTGCTGACCACTCCTACATGAAAATATTTTTTTCTGGTTCATAACAGTGGCCACGCTAGTCCACATGCCATACTACACTGTTCCTTGCTTAACCATGCTTTTTAACTAACTCACAACTGGGCAGATTTACAGAATTACAGACTAGGGCTGAGACACCACAATGGCTTTTCCCCACTATATGTTAAATTAAATCCTGTTGTGGGTTAGCTTTACCACAGCAGAGAGCAAGGAATTGTTTGGTTTGCGCCACAAAGGTTTTTTTAAAGCAACTTTATTAAGTTTTTGAAAAAGATAAAATACAAATTTTAAAAAAAATTAAAAGAAACACGGAGGCGATCGGGGGAAGTTTAAAAAGTCACAAGAGAAAAGAAAAAAATACAAATATTAGTTATGACTTTTTTCAGTATAAATTTACAATAAAGTAACCCCCTTATTCTAATTTAAAACAAAAACGACAATATAAAAATTAAATGAAAAACTAAACCTATATAAAATAACCACTTATTCTCTTTCTGAAGAAAGAAGTCCAAAAGAATAGGATAGTGAGTTCTAGATAGGCTGCACCTGTCTATATAAAACACTAAACTACAGTATGAACCATCGTTAATAAACCACAAAACTTGAGTCCACAATCAAGCTAAGCCAAAAAGATAACACCAACAGAATGATCTAGGCCAGGGGTGTCAAACTTAAGATTTGGCCCGCGGGGTGCTTAGATCTGGCCCGTGGGCCCACCCTTTAAACAGCAAAGGACCGGCCTGCAGTACCTCTGCCAGTGAAAACATAACTTAGGAGGGCTTTTCCAAGCTCCATTTTCGCTGGCAGAGGGCTGCAGGAGGACATTGCAGCCAAAAATGGAGCCTGGAGAGGCCGTCATGACTGACAACGAACTCTTGGTGAGTGACATTGCCTGGCCATGCCCCCGGCCACATCCCCCCTCGAGGTCAAACACAACGCTGATGCAGCCCTCAATAAAATTGAGTTTCACACTCCTGATTTAGGCAATACATGATACAGCATACAATAAAGGTAGTCCTCAACTTACACCAGTGACTGTTCAAAGTTACAACAGCACTGAAAAAGTGACTTATGACCATTTTTCCAGTTACACCCTTTGAAGCATCCCCATGATCATGTGATCAAAATTCAGAGGTTTGGCAACTGGTTCATATTTATGAGTATTGTCCCAAAGAGGCAACTGGATTTTCTTGTTTTTCTTGAAGACATTTTGCTTCTCATCCAAGATGCTTCTTCAGCTCTTCTTGGATGAAAAGTAAAATGTCTTCAAAGAAAAACAAGAAAGTCCAGTTGCCTCTTGAAAACAGCACCTTTGGAACAACCATGATCTGGATGATGAGAATCCCCAAAGACACTTATGACCATTGCTGTTTCTCCCAGGGTCATGTGATCTCCTTTTGTGACCTTCTGACAAGCAAAGTCAATGGAAAAGCCAGATTCACTTAATAACCAGTTACTAACTTATCAACTGCAGTGATTCACTTAACAACTTTAGCAAGGAAGGTCGTAAAATGGAGTAAAACTCACTTAAGAAATATCTCACTTAACAACAAAATTTTTGGCCTCAATTGTCATAGTTAAGTGGAGGACTACCTGTACTGTATTCCAAGCTGACCTATCCAGTGCATTTGTTAATCAAGGCTTACAGTTTATTCTGTGGCAAGCACAGCCATAAATGTGTGTAGGGTTGTGTTATGACATATTTTATACCGAAAAAGAAAGAACCTTTAATTGTGCTCCTAATCTATTTCTCTGCCTCCACACTGACTTTTCTAGTTAGGCTGCTGGGTGTTGAAACTCTAATGTTTCCCCCCCCCCGAAGCATACAGAGGAGTTAAATCCTAACAACCGCGGCCTGCCTCCAAAGCAGGCTGTAGCAGAGAGAGGCAAGCGCTGCCCCAATTGCCGCACATCCCCTGCCTTCTCCTTCAGCGGAGGAGATATCAACACTCGGCCCACACAGTAATCCGTGGTGACTGTCACCTGACACTCACGGCACCAGGATCCCCCC